GAGGCATCTACATATGTAGTAAATTTCTGAAATACTGAAAATACTGAAAAGGAGAAACAAAATAAATGAAAGAAATTAAATCAGAACAATTCTTCAATAACTGGATTCTTTAAATTTCAAGTCAAGTAAATTTCAGTAATACATACGCTAGCTACTTGTTTTTTTACGGACGCGTTCTTTATTTCAGCAAATAAATAATGGATTATTTATCTTTAGAGGAGAAAGTTGAAATAATTTTGAAATAATTTTGAAAGTTGAAATAATTTTATGTTACCTTAAAGAGAAAGTGTATACAGAAGTACCAAATACTCGAGAAAACATGGTGAAACGTATTAGATATGCTTGCGTACAAATAACGCCAGATACACTTTCTACATGTGTACAAGCATTCCAAGCTCGAGTTAATAAATGCATTGAAATGGAAGGTCATCATTTCGAGCATTTATTGTAATTGAATAGTGAGAGGCGAGGGGACTCACCGAAATAAAGCACCTCGATGGTGAGAGAAAATGGCAAAAACTAATTTTCACTGATTACAGCGCCATCTATCACGATTCGAAAAAATGTCTCGGACAAAACTTACGTATTTTTTTCCAAGGAATCCGAATCTGCAATAAAAAATGGGGGTTCCCATTTGAAATTTCAAAGTTGCCACCCGCCCACCCCCAAGGGGCGGTGGGGCGGGTTAATTTTTACACAGGCAGACGTCCCCCTTGATAATATTAAAAGTTTATTTGGGACATTTTTTCGTACAATGCTTATTTTTCGAAATATTTAGTTGTCTCAAGTTAAATGGGACACCCTGTATATTGAGTATTCTGTTTGTCTTTATGTCATAAAACTTAAACGACAGGTTCTTTAATTCTGAGTCGATTCATTAAATTAGAAATCGTTTGATGAAGGATCAGCATTTGTTTCAGATTTGACGTGCAAGACGTAAAACCATTTACGATCTTTTTACTGCTGCCACACAAAATGAAAGATCAATATTTAATTATATTTTCCTTCTAGGTCAGATTTAGCAGAAATTTTGCTTTCGCAAGGTTTCTAATTATTCCGCCCTTCTGATAAGAAAAACGCTTTTTTATCTCTATTCTTTTTTATTCCTTTTCTTCTTCTTTGTTAGCTGTTACTTAACATATGTAATATACAAGGCGTTATAAAATATTTTTATCGCAAAATTACACCAAAAAATACATAAACTTATTCATTATGTTTATATTAAATTATATAGACAATACATATATATTTTTTTCCATATTAAATAAATTTAATAGAATTTAATAAATTAAATTTAATAAAATTTTCAACAGCCTATATTAATTCATATCGTTTAATATGCTTGAAACTGTCAGTAAAATGAATTAATGAATTAAAAGCTAGTTTTGAAATTTTATAAAGAGACTTGCGAATTACGGATAAATTACCATAGTAATTTAAAAATAATAAAGATAATATTGGCTGAAAATTTCGAAGTTACAGGTTTAAAATATCTATCAATTCCATTAAGTAACATTCTATGAAGTTATTTCATCGATACTGTAAAGTATGGTCCTTCAAAGACAATGACAGAAAAGGCAATAAGAAAATAGTTCTTGCGCTCCAATAACCGCGTTTCCGATTCTGATTATCTTCTCCGTAGTTGTATTGTCTATTTCATCAAAGATAGTTTAGCGAACAATCGTTATATATGTCAATTGTTTGCGCGATCTTTTTGGCTATTGCTTCTGAAGTTAAGATATGTCATAGGTATGCGTGACTTTTGAAGAAACTTTAAGCACAAAATAGTTGAGACATACAATATTGCTAGCGCTAAACTTGTCTGGAATATCGACCGCTTTCGGGCGTATCGGAACGTGATCTCAGCGGTTGATCTTCGAGAAGTCCCGCTTGGTAGACAGAAGTTTAATTATCTTTGGATTTAACAAGATCGTGGCACACTGAAGAGAGAAAGATAAGCTCGCTGTAAACCGTGACTTACTATAGATATACAGATGTGTCTCTGCGATAGATACCCGTTCTTCTTGAATTTCACAAAATTCGATTTCTTAATATTGGAATCTTTCGATAAACGTAATAGTCTTTATGAGAAGTAGGAAACCATTTCATTCTTTCTTAGATCTTCTCTCTCTCTCTCTCTCTCTCTCTCTCTCTCTCTTCCTTTTTCTCTTCGTTTTAGTAAGTGGAGTATTACTGTTTCATCGTCAAATCAGCAGTCCCGTGTTTCATCGTAAAAGCACTGCTAAATATAGGCACGTAATAAACTCGATTGAGTCTGTTCTATTGAATATCGAGTGAAAAAAGATTGAATTTTTATGAAAGTTTATGCCACGGTTCTATTTTCACTTTTATAATTGAGTGCTCGAATAAGCGGGCGAATGCTATTTAACGAAATCACTTTGAGCAGATGACAATTATTATTCCGAACGAAGCAATTTGATCATTGCGCGCCCGAAACGTAACCGTAGAAATAAACGGAAGGATAATTGCGGAAGTTATGCGCGACTCTAGTATCGCGCCTGTCTATTCTAAAGCCCGACAGTAACGAATTGTTCGTCATCGTAAATGGATGCTGTCGAACTTGCCCGTTTCGATTTTACAAGCGGCGAGATGTAAGCGGATTAAACAAAGCGTTACTGGATTCGCGAGGTGCACGCAAGCACGGATTTCCATCCCACGAGAGCAACAAGTACGTCACACGCCTGTCACGCTATTGTCCGCGTTTCCTGCTCTCTCGTCGCAGGATTCAGGGCGCACGGTTTTCTTAACCCTATAATGTGACGTATGAATTTTATCGGAATCCGGCACACGTGGATTATTCTTGTGCAATTTGGATTTTTTACTGTTCGGCAGGTAGACATTTATAGTGACGTATATTTTCGCTTTTGTTTCGAATTTAGTTTTGAATTAATCAATCAACTTTTAACAAGTTATTGAATTTGTTTTAAATTTTTACTTAATACTCGAATATCTAGATCAAAACCATGTATGTGTTACTTATAATACCTTCTATTTATAACTTTTTTATAAAATGAAAAAGCGCAGAGCACACGAATCAGTGATAAATTTTTAAAAAACCAACAGAGAAAAGACTGAATATGAATCAAAAACGCGGATGTCGGAGAGCAAAAAACTACAAATTAAACAGAATAAAAAAAATAAATTTAAAAGAAATAAATTAATTAAAAATCAAGACGACGACTGAGGAATGACTTATATGTGTAGAGTTAATTTCAGATCGATATTCACTATATGATAAAAGGAAAAAAGCAAACGTTTTCCGCAGTGAACTAATACGCGCGTAACGAGAATGCGGGCTATTGTGCGATATCCGCTCGTTTTTTATCAGACGATTTTTTGTTACTATACGCGAGAGAAGAAAGCGTACCGATGATAAGTGGTCGTCCTATCGGGAACTTTTTATGGTAATATAATGATGACAAACAGAAACGAGAGAGAGCATTCCACGACCATTCCGATCGATCGATCAACTCACGCTCGGTTATCTATGTTGTCTCTTTGTGCACGATGACACTTGAGAACAGACAGAGGGCCTAAAGGGCACTTCCCGCCTTTTCGCTCGGTATGACGTTTGAATGACGTCTGCATATCGTACTGTTTAAGTCACTTACTGCCCGAGAAAATAGGTTTTGCTCCAAATTTTGTACCGCGTAAACGCGACAATGGAGATAAACGATATTGCAATATTTTCTCTTTACGCTTTATTTTAATAATTGTTATACTCGATAAAGAAGTAATTTTAACCCGTGTATGATCAAAAATTTTTGTTTTGCTCCAAAAGCTTTGCGCTGCGTAAATGCAGTGGTAAATATAGGTTTGTTAATAATTAAAGCGTCGGAAATGTATGTCGATGTAAGCGTTGCGTTATGATAAAAATAAACTTACACTTTAATAATTGTACTCGGCATATCGTTGGGATCGTAGCAAATTAACGCATAATGAGCTCTTGCAAGCGCGAAGTTTGTATGACGTTAAATAAAATTCATTTGAATTTGAAACGTGAGTGCGAATACGCAAGCGAGCAGAACGGCTCTTTTCACGCTTGTTACGTGCACATTGTCAGTAGTTCAGGTTTAAATTTAATTAAAATTGATGCATCGAGGGTTGTCGATATTTATGCGTATTAAGTATTTATGAATACTCAACGAGAGCAACGAGCATATCTAATGGGAAAATATTTTCTCATGAAGCATTTACGGATGCTTACAGTGAGCGTTTATATTATACTGTATTGTGAACGTATTGTTCACTTATATGAGACAATTAGTTAAAACATAACTATGTTTTTTTTATATTTTATAAATACACGCAGAAAAGTATAAAATAGACACAAAATCATAAAATTCAGAAATGTTAGGAATTATATCTCCCGTGTAAATAAAGTTATGATTTGAAAATGTAAAATCGATTTTGAACAGAACAACGCGATCGCGTATTTATGTTTTCTACAATAGATGTTTGATTGATTGAACGAATCAGTAACACAACTCAACAAAATTTAATTTCTTTTTTTTCCAAAATAATAATAATGATAATTTTTTAATTTTTGTTGCCATCAATTTAAAAACAAGTGTATATGTATAGATAATAGCAACATATTATGATGTTAAATGATTCACACACAAATATGTGAGTTACATTTGAAAAATAATTATGTCGTAATTAACATTTTACAAAATGTATAAAATATGTATAACGTGAACGTACCTTGTCTCCTTGCTGTAAGCCGGCTTTCTCAGCGGAGCCACCCGGCACGGTCCATACGATGCACGCGAAGGTGCGCCCGTCCGACCCGGTCTTGCCGCCCACCACCCTCATACCAAATCCGCGCGCTGCAACAAAGGGCATGTGGGCTCAGAATAAAAAAGTACCCGGAGAAAAATAATACAACGCAATTTCTGCGGATATTTCTCGTTTTCGTGGGTAGAATTTACGTCATCGGCGAACGAGAACACGTCGGGTGGCGCGCATGTCGCACACCGATGCCGTTTTCGAGCGCACTCGACAGAAAGAGAGGGGGGAGAACGAGAGAGAGAGAGAGAGAGAGAGAGAGAGAGACGACTAACGTACGACGACGACGTACGTACGTCGCGTCGTACGTTACCTACGTACGTTCCCGTTCCCGTACGTTACGTACGTTAACGTTAACGTTACGTAAGTACTAGTAACTAACGTAAGTTAACGTAAGTAACGTTAGTACGTATATATAGTACGTACGTAGAGAGGAGGAGGAGAGAGAGAGAGAGAGAGAGAGAGAGAGAGACGCAATTACGCAGCGACGTAACTCGCGCAGTTTCCTCAATGTTCCCCCGCTTAGCGTGAATTTATACGTATCCGCGTGAGTGCGGTTGTAGCTGCAACGCTGAGGAAAATAATTAACACCCACGTTCGATGTAAACGTGAGCAGCAATTGCATCTGTTATTGGAGGTAACAATGTCACATTGTTAGTGAATCTAACGCTGCTTGAGAATGTTCGTAACTTAACCTCATGAATTGTTATCCGATTGTCGACATTTCTTCTTCTTGAAAATACTAATTTAGTCAAGATTACGAAGAGCAAATCAATTTTTTGGTAGTCATAAAATTGTCAGAATTTTTTAACAATTCTAAGATACAAATTTTTTATTCTAATCTCTGCTATATTAGTCCAAGCATTTGAGTACAGATTGCACGATTGATGCATTTATTATTCTCCCATATCACTTTTCAATAGGAAGAAGTTTTAGTAGGATAAACTCGGAATCAATCTTATTTTCAAAAAGAGCTAATTTCCTTTTATTTATCTAAATCCTCACTTATGCTGGAGAACTACTACAATGTTGTGTCTCGTCACATTCGGAAGTTAAGTGGACCTTGACGGAAATACAATCCGATGTGACCAAGCTAGTTCTGACCTATTGGCTAAGGCTTTCGCAACATCTGGATAAACCCTCGCGCCATTAGCCGCGCGGATTCGACGGCCACATTCCAGTTATTGCCGGTTACCGCAGATCCTACGGGCTCTAATGGATGGGAATTCACGTGATGTATTCACGAAAGCTTTAGAAATTACTTGGAAAGAGACAAACAGAAAGACGGGGGATCTCGTTTTGCTCTTATATTATGCAAATCTCATTATGTGCATTTGCATCCACCTGACTCATTCTTTAATGCAACCAAAGTACTTATGAAATTAATTACGTTGACCTTTTCAGAAGAATTTCGGGAAAATGAACAAATTATCAAGTCTTCTAGAAGCTAAAGCGTATCCAGGAAACACAATTTGAGTTTTAATTGCAATATCTATACAAACAAACATTCGCGAATAGACATTTAATATTCATTCGTTTCAAGGATATTGCAAATAAAATCGCGAGTTAGTTTTCCATTCCCGGAAAATCGAGTTTTATCGGGATCGATAGAAATTAATATTACTGGGATTGTGTGGAAAAGATCGGTGCAATCGTTGCTGCTTCCAGATCGCGTTTATGTCGGGAAAACCGGTTGAAAGTTTATTCGTTCTGTGCTATTTGCGCAAACGGAGCAACGTTACTCTCTATCAAAGTTTTAACGAGCTGTAGAGATATAATGACAAGGGTAAACTTGTGGAAGACGAGAAGAGAAGATAAAACGCAGAGATTTACCGATAATAGCGTATAACATTTGTAATTTAGACACTCCCTGTGAGCCAAAAAATTGCCAAAAAGCTGTTAAAATAGTGGGAAACAGTTGTGTCCGTTTTTTATTTAGTTTTTTATTTAGTTAAAAAGTTATCAGAGACGAGCTATTACAGAAATTTTAATAAAAATTTTTTTCCGAATAATCGCGAACAGTTTATCGTGTAATTATTCAAAAAATATAACAATGATAAATAGTGTGATAACTAGTGCAAATTAATTGCGGTTTTTAATTTGTTAATAATCAAAGCTAATTTTCAAAACTGTTTAATATTCTATTGTCGAGAGAATCGAGAGAAAGAGAGAGAGAGAAAAGACCTTCTTATTAAAAATAACTAAATTCTATTTTAAATATCATGGGAAATATTTATTTTTGACGTATGCCAAAAATGAAGGGGACGAATCGATAAACAAATCTCGTTGAAAAACTCATTAGATGTTTATTTTAGCATTTCAGTGAGTTTCAGAGGGCAGGGTATTTTTTCTTTTTCGGTGATCTTTGCTCCGATCTTTTTTCGATTGAATTATCAAGGTTGTATCACGAAATGTGGGTCGTGATACGTAAGCTGAGGTATGCGATGACGATGAAAGGTCAAAGGCTAGCCGAGAACAGGAAGGGCACAGTTTAATGTACAGCCAACTGGCAGTCGCACGGTGATACACAGTCGAGTTCTGTATCTCGTTTTTCGTGCTAAACGTATTGTGTGCGCGTAGTCAACATCTTTGCATTCGACATGCCTAAGCATCCGTGGTCAGCTGTGCGCCGTTCTTGCATGCTGCCGGTGATAATATTGTCTCTGTATATCAGAGAAATCCGAAACGTCCAACGCAAGAGGAACCACTTAATTAAGTGTTATCGTGGTGGTCGTCCACGTAATTTCGTTATGATGTGTGCACATTAATCGTACACTGCTGCGCGAAATTCTGTCTCTTGCCGCCTTTTCATACGTCTGTGAGAGAACATTCAGTGACTAATGGAGTTCAATTTCAATGATTGCAAATAGAGATACAGCTCTCTGCAACTTTTTGATGATTGCAACATTCGCCGATGCCGATATTTTTGTTAATATAAAAGATTTTCAATATTAATAATTTAGAGCAGTTGATAATATAATACACTTATGTTGTTCGATAACAAAAAAGATGCATTCCAAAATTGCATTTGAATAAACGATTTAAACTTTGGAGAAACTAGAGCTGGCGCACAATGAACTCACAGAAACAATATCGACGGTTCGACGAACGTGTCGCATCGAATGAAATTATCGCGGTTGACAGAAAGTCAAAAGCGTCACGTATTTGAGACAAATCGGGTTACTATCTCACGTCAACGTCTCGCGATTAAACCCAGTCGGAACTTCAGATTCGACAGTCGTTAAATAAGTATGAATCGGATCCACAAATTGATTACTATTTCGAGCTGTCTGACGCTCGAACTTACGTTTGCACAAACGCGACGTTAACAAGATATAACGTGGACGCGACATCGTACCATTTAATTGATCAACGTCATCGAGCTCTCGAGCACATCGGAATTATCTGTTTAATTCTCTGACGAACTGGCTAAGGAGAATCTTGTTTATGTCGTAACGTCGATAACTTCTACAGTAATCCGGTTTGAGGTTTCGCTCGTACTAGTAATTATGAATAACTACCGATTATAATAATTTGTCAATCGCAAGCGCATAAATCTTGCTTGTCTTAATGCTAGAAGTTCGGCATTTGCATATTATTAATTATTTTCTAGATCGGCGGTGAATGTTCGTAATTCAGAAAGACAAATCAGGTGAATACGGCAAATTACTATTGTACATTATCGTGCAAAAGAAATCAGCTTTCAGTGTGTCGATATTCAGATATTGTTTGCATGATATTCTGTTACCAACACTTTAAAATAGTGGTTATTGTTTGCCGTTTGACTCTTTGGAAGAAATTCCCGAAGAATTATAAAAACAAATAATCCCTGTCGAGCTGGCCCCCCCACCTTGCACAAATAAAAAACCAATAGCGCAAAATTATAAGCTATTTATGAGCTTTCATATTCCGCAAATTAAAATTTTTCAGCTCGTCACGCTGAGCATAAATTTAATGTTTTTTTTTTTGAGGGA